TCGGGGGAAAAGGGCGGCATACAAATGAAATAAACAAACAAACAAATAAACAAACAAACTGAAACAGCTTATTCAGTAGCTCATTTCACCATTTTCCAACTGTGCCACAATTTGTGTTAACCGCCTTTGCCTTGAATGAGCCACAATCTTTAGGTTCATCACACAACACAAATAAACGAAACTGAAGTCGAGCATGTATTATGGCTTAGTGGTGCACCAGAAATGACTTCTGCCAGATTTACTCGCTCCAGAAAACGAAAGTAGGTCAGGCTTACTGATTTCAGAGTGGTGCTTGCCCCGGTGCCCACTTTGACAATTTCCTCCTGATTACTTCAAAAGTATTAGCGACGTCTGACGTCCCTTTCCCCCACTTTCACAAGATGAAAAGTCACCACTACATACCACACAGGAGCATTCAGCTTGTACAGCTTCTCAGAGGCTTGGATGATTTTGTCGAAGTCGCCTGTTAAGATGCTTGCACCAAAATAAAAGCCTACGTCCCAATAGTGCTGCATTTTTTCCAGGCTTCCCTTCCTCCCCAAAACGCAGCTCACCTTCATCCCTGCCAGAAAAAAAAGAAAGGTTATTTCATGAAAGATATAAGAATTTTTTAAAGAAAACCCCCTCTTTGGTACCAGCCTTTGGGCTAAGCCAGAAGTATCAAACTCAAGGCCCGGGGGCTGGATGCAGGGTGCCCACGAGGCCACCCTGGAAACAGCAAAGGACTGGCCCATGGTGCTTCTGTGTGGCCCTCCTGAGCTCCGTTTTCAGCTATGATGGCCTCCTGCAGCCCTCTGCCAGTGAAAACAGAGCTTGGGGAAGCCATGTGCACCCACCTCCCAAGCTCCGTTTTTGCTGGCAGAGAGCTGCAGGAGGCCATTGCAGCTGAAAACGGAACCTCGAGTGATGTTGAGCTGGCCACCCTCCCCTCCAAGGTCAAACAGAACCCTGAATGAAATTGAGTTTGACACCCCTGGGCTAAGCCAGCCTTGTCAACTTTCAGAGGTGTGGACCAGTGGTGAAATTCATTTTTTTTTACTACTAGTTCTATGGGCGTGGCTTGGTGGGCGTGGCAGGGGAAGGATATTGCAAAATCAGTTCAGTTCAGTTCAGTTGCGTTTATTTATAGGCCGCCCTTTTCCCT